GTGACAGCAGATATGCAAATACCACAACAAGGACACAGCAAACAAACAGAAATCAAGAAAAACCAATAGGCAGCTCAACAGAGGGACCCTGTCCACCCAAAGCGGAGCTCTGTCCGGCAGCATGTGTTCAGAAGCTGTTGTGATGATGCTCTGCAGGGATTAGCAGCAATACTGATGCAGGTTAGTTATGTCACTATTCTGCAGGATTACGGCAGTTTTGCTACTGGTGAGCATTGCACAAAGCAACCATTCCCCACCATCTTGATTACTCAATTAAATTCAGTCCTTTAAAAAAAAAAAGAAAAAAAAAAAAAGTAACATACACGCAAAATTCTGTTTTGTGCACATAATGAAAGTAAGTACTCGTATTTGGCTTAAGTCTGATTTTATATACCAGCAAATGTGAGTCATATTTATGACTTGTTGGGCAGAAACTAGGAGGTTATTTCCACCCTCTATAATCTGGGGTTCCAGCTTAAAATATGTTTACCTGCTTCTTCAGTAAAACGTTTGGTTTCAGTGGAAAGCTTATGCACCACTTTCCAGCACCTGTCTCCTCTTGTCCGGCTGCAGTTTTGTAATCTCACATGGACACACCCAAACTTTATACACATATGACAGCATACATCTTGTATTGTAAATTTATGTATTGTGTCTGCGGTTGTATTGACTACACATTATAAGGCCTCCTGAATTAGCCAATTTAAGACCGCGTGACTGTTCCACAAGTATAGGCATTACGTTTCACTGCAGATAGAAAGCTTTCCTTTTTTTAAAAAAAACCAAAAAAAAGGAAAGCCTTTCCTCCTGCTGGTTTAAACCTGTGCCTCTCCAACTTTCATTTTTGACTGATGCAGATGCTGTGCACAGCACAGGACCGGTAATGTACGATTCACCAGCAGACTCGAGAGAGTACTGGCACCATGCTTGACCCAGAAAAAAAAGCACTCTCACACACAGAGCTTAAAAATAGCCTGGTCACAATAATCCAAGCATACGCAAGCAGAGTGCTTGACGTTGTTTGTGCAGAGAATATGCTCATTCCCTTCTAAAAATACTGTCTCTGCCCCCCTCTAGGCAGTGACGCAACAGCAGCACAAGCCCATGCACAGCGCTCATCACAAAGCAGCCCCCAATGTTCCTGCTCCTGTTTCGACAAAGCTGAAGACAGCAATAGCTACAAGACACTTTGAGTGGGATTGCCTTTTGTACCTCTTCCTGCTACCGTTTCGTGATCCTGTGCGGCCGGCATACACCCTGAGGTGCACAATGCTACATCACAAAAAGTGTGATGAAGGTATTAAAAAAATATATATTTTTTTTAAAAATGCAATCCTCCACGCAGGAGTGTTATTGTACCGAGTGATTCATTTTTTCCTTTTTCAAAAGGTGAATTAGACACTAAAAATCAGCGTCAATACAGAAATGTTCCAGGTAACATGATGAATAATACATCTGTCTGACTACAAAAGCCTTTCTCAACAAACAAGTGTGGAGAGCGCTGCACATCTGGTCACGTCTAACCACTGATAAGTGACATAAACAGATGAAACCTGCTTACTCCACAGAACACAGACCAGCATATCCTTCAGGTCAATTGCTTTGACATAAACATGAAATGTGCCTTTCACTCTTGGCTTTCCTTGCCACTCCACACTGTCCTTCACTCTCATAATGGAAAGTGGCATGACTTAATCTGTCCAAAGACATGATATATGCACAGTAAACAGAGATCCCCGGGACAGAGAGCAGCAGCTGGGCCTTGCTGTCAAACACGGAGCACAACACCGAGAGGGCAGTGGTGACTCACTGGAGGCTTTTCCCCAAAGGCTGCAATGGTGGCGCTCCTTTAAATTTAGCAGTGTTTTATAGAACACCGTGCTGAGGCTGCGCACCAGAGAAGGCGGTAAATTCCAGGGATCGTTGGCTCACGTGACCGTTAAAATACAAGTGGAACATATTAGCCTCCCGGCTTGCCTGAAATACAGCAGATCGGTTTCACACTGTTGCTCTCGTATCACAGAGGCAACCTCGGTTATGGCAACTGCCTCAGCTTGTGATAAGAATCTATGATTGAGTTGATGGGCTTACCGACCAATCCAGTTAAAATGTCAAGAGGCTTAAGACAAATGTATTCATGCTGGGCCGTACACGCACAGAAATGAGGGAGTTTACCATCCATCTACGAGCCTAAAGAAGCCTTTGGGCTTATTTCGAACTCTAACTTCAGTCTCAAACATACTGAGATTATAGGGTGAAGGGTCTAATGAGGGCAAAGAATGAAGAGTATTTATCAGATAAACGGTATTTTTGTGACAATACACCCAATTTACACCCAACAAAACCCACCCCCTTTAGGCACCAAAAAGCATTGTTTAATGCTTTTTAAGAAAAATACACACACACACACACACACACACACACCATGAGGCAGATGCTGAAGTATTTCTTTACCAAGACTGGGACTGGCCAAAGGCCGTGTTTAGCCTTGCTTGATTTTAATACAGCACTGGAGGAGTGAGCAAACATTGAGCCTCTCTCTTCAATGAAAAAGGTTTTTGTTTTATTTTGTTTTTTTAAATATGTGACACCACACAATGCACAGCTCAAACAAAGGCAAAGCAAGAGCATTATGATGGTTCTTTAGTTAGCCTCAGTTTAAAACAACTCTGATGCTGACTTAAGATGAGAAAATCAGTTTTATATGGAAAAACAAAACAAAACAATGTGTGAGTA